ATTATTAACAACTGTAGCAATTTTCGCAGGTGAGAACTGAATAATAATTATCATTATAAGTTGATTCATATTGCAACAAACATAATTGATGAATATTTATCAAAAAGATTAATTGACATAAAAATACGAACGTCTCAATTTATTTCACTGATGATGTCTCCAGCGTTTCAAAATAATGAAATTACATTTATAATTATACATGTTAAAACTCTTCAGGAGCGTAAAATTCACCAGGACTAGGATATTGATAATAATGATGGCTTATCTTTAGAGGTGAAGAGCCTTCGATCGGGAAGACCGGCTGCCCAGGGGGAATTTTCTTCGATTGCAATTATTCACGTCTCTGAAGACGAGGTCACCATTGGGGTCCTGGTCGCTCCACGAATAATTTTAACGACTTTGACAATTTTACGGCACTATGACCACCGAGATATCAGAATCCAATTGGGATGCTTAACAGTAGACAGTTGCGAGACTCCACTACTGCGACCTACTTACTATATTCCGAATGTGCCATATTCGACTGTGATGATTGTTGTAAGTCCTTTGACAAAATTTCTTCAGGCTCAAAGCTAGGGAAACGTGATTTTTTAAACGTGTAGCGGAGAGGAAATATTTGATGACTTGAGGGAAATCGATGAAATATTTTTGAAACCTAGGCAAGGGAAACATTATGATCATAACTAAGGGAAATAGATTGAGGACAGATCTTTGGTTTCCTTGATTAATCAATTGACTGATTAATTAATTGATTGATTAATTAATTGATTTTTACATAGAAGAGGGAAAGTTTTTATAGCGTTCCATATTTTTGTGACGTCAAAGGAGTCGGATAGGATTTTTGGATTAGGTAGGACGGGGGACAGGATAATTCTCGATATAATTTTTACAAGAAAAATTACTGAAAAAATGGATAGTCCAGACCGAGATTTGAACCTGGGACCTTCCAATTATGCATGATTGATTGGTTTCGTTTTTTTCAGCTTCCGGCAAGTGTCGAGAGGAGCCGTACAGTTAAACCAGTGCCAATAGGCTCTTCAGCAGGTTATACTGGCCGAATGTGTACGTTCGTGGCATTTGATTCTGAAGATGATCCGGCGATAGCTTCGATAGACGTTCAAATTTTGGGGCGAAGCTTGTGTCGATCAGTGCTTAGAGTGGCTATACCTGAGGAGCACGCGTGCTTTGATGATTCATCCGTGCCTTCACGCATCACCGAGGTATGTATGAACATGATCTGAGGACCTATTAATATACAAATAAATTACTTTCCCTAATTAATATCATTTTGCTGAGTACATTTTTTTTTTCTTACTGCAGGACGACTATGGCGGCCCAATCTTTTGCGATGGAATTGTGATTGGAATTATGGTCAACTATAATATAACTGCTGGAAGATCACGTGCGCTACAAGGCATGAGCAATTTCACTATGTTTGACCAATTACCTGATCTGGGCTCATTACCATTACTCTATCGAGCAGCAGTCAGGAGATAAAATCTTATTATATATTCTTATGATTACACCGAATTCCATCCCGTGAATTTTTTGGCGAACGCTATTTGAACTATCATAAAATGATCGATCTATTGCTGAGCTCTTCGCCATATTGTCGATATCGATTTTAGCGGTTCCTCATGTTTGGGTTACGATAATTTGACGAAGAGCTAGGGATGGATCGGCCATCTTATATCTTATCTCTTTTTACAAAATAATATTCCACTTTGGAATAATGGTTTTTCGATGTTGTCGATGCATATAAGATCTGTTTAATTTCAATAAAGTAACGCAATAATCATAATAATTTCCTATTGATCCTTCCAGAGATAATTATTAATGATTTTAATTTTAATTGGCTTTAGTCGGAAAAGACATATGCAACATTATCAGAAATTGATGTGCGCATCATTTGGATGAAACAATTTTTATAATGGCTCCATTAATCAATTGTAAGGCACAGGATATTCTCTTATCTGGAATAAAAATTTAAGGAACATGACAGTTTTTTTATTCATTACGTGACTAGTCGTGTAAGTGTTCCTTTTCTGTGCGTTCTAAAAAAAACTGATTCCTTATTTTTTGCGGAGAAAATGATAAAATTCCAGATAAAAGTTATTCAAATAATATTCCATTACACCAATCCGTGACTACCGTATACATTTTTGCTGATTTTATGCTTCATAAAAAACTGATAATTGTGATGTAATATTTACGGGAAATTGCGCAATTTGTATTGATTTTATAGCTCACGTATTTCTTTTCCGTATTATTCTCTCCGTGTAGTGAATAAAAGCCACAAGCCAGACTCGAAAATTTTAGTAGTTTTTTTCTAGCCGAGAAATTTGTTGACGAGACAGTCTGTAAAACATGGCTGCAAGAATTATACTATTATTATTAACAACTGTAGCTATTTTCGCAGGTGAGAACTGAATAATAATTATCATTATAAGTTGGTTCATATTGCAACAAACATAATTGATGAATATTTATCAAAAAGATCAATTGACGAGATAAATAGTGAAAAATTGAGATAAAAACACGAACGTCTCAATTTATTTCACTGATGATGTCTCCATCGTTTCAAAATAATGAAATTACATTTATAATTGTACATGTTAAAACTGTTCAGGCGCGTAAAATTCACCAGGATTAGGATATTAAAATAATAATGATGGCTTATCTTTAGAGGTGAAGAGCCTTCTATCGGAAACACTGGCTACCCAGGGGGAATTTCCTTCGATTGCAATTATTCACGTCTCTGAAGACGAGGTCACCATTGGGGTCCTGGTCACTCCACACAGAATTTTAACGGCTTGGACAGTTATACAGTTCCATGACTACCGACGTATGAGAGTCCAATTGGGATGCTTAACAGTAGAGAATTGCGAGACTCCACTACTGCGACCTACTCACTGTATTCCTAACCCGGCATATTCGACTCTGATGATTGTCGTAAGTCCTTTGACAAAATTTCTCCAGGTGCAAAGCTAGGGAAACGTGATTTTCTGAACGTGTAGCGGAGAGGAAATATTTGATGATTTCAGGGAAATTGATGAAATATTTTTAAAACCTAGGCAAGGAAAACATTATGATCATAACTAAGGGAAATAGATCGAGGACAGATCTTTGGTGTCCTTGATTAATTAATTGATTGATTAATTAATTGATTTTTACATAGAAGAGGGAAAGTTTTTATAGCGTTCCATATTTTTGTGACGTCAAAGGAGTCGTTGGATAGGATTTTTGGATTAGAGGAAGGGGGACAAGAAAAATTACTGAAA